GAGAGAGAGGGGAGGCAGGGAGCAAATGAGACAGTGGGAAAGTAAGCAAAAAGAAAGTAAAGAATTGAAGGAGATGGAGAAGGAAACAAGGAAGTAGAGAAGAACAGTTATAGGTGAAGAAAGGAGGAATCTATGGACAGTTAAGGAAATGAGAAGTCAGAGCAGAAAGGAAGGAGTCTCAGAAGGAAATGTGGAGATAAAGAAGCAAACAAGAAAATAGAAAAGGAAATAAGGAAGCGGAAAAGAAACTAGATATAGAGAAGGAATTAGGAGAGAAGGGCAGGAACGAAAAGGAAACAAGAATGTAGTTGGAGGGAAAACGAAGGAGATAAGGAGGTAGAAAAGGAAATGAGATGGTGGATAAGGGAACGAGAAGTTGAAGATTCAGAAGTACATAAAAACATACAAAGACGGAGGCAGAAAAGGAAATGAGGAGGTAGAGAATGAAGCAGTGATGCTGTGGTTGTCTCGCAGGTCTTGTTACCATGGTGTTTCTACGGTGACGTCATGCTGCAGCGACCTGTGGCCTCACCGTCGTCCACACAGGAGGAGACCTCAAACGACTGTCATGGGACAGCGAGTAGCGTGTTCAAAAAAGCTTTATTTAAACGTGTCGACGGAGCGGACGGAGTCATCGACCACTGATGAACAGTTGGATACGAGCGCCGTGAGAAGAAATGGACGTTAAACCGACGAACATGTGACAAAGCTGTGATGCTGCGTAAATAAAATGATTGTAAATAAAAACAGAAAGTGATGATTTTAAGAGGATTCAAGTCTTTATTTAACTGTAAGCAGAACAACACAACACCATCTTTGACCAGAGTGTACTCACACGTTTAAATAAAGTTTTTACAGAAGCTCAGTGCAGCTCATCATATCCAGGATAAATAAATAAATAAAACAAAGCAGGTAAACTCTGTGTAATCAGATGTGTGTGTCTGAAGTTTTACTGCTGATGGTAAAATGTTCACAGAGGTTCAGCTTTTCTGCGTGATGCGTCGTTATGCATCAGTACTACAGAGCTGGCCTTCCAGTCTCTGAGAAAAACCTCATCAAGTAATGCATGAACTAGTAATTGATGGAAAAGTTCCAGTTTCTTCTTCACTGCCATGAATAAAAACCTGTTCTTTTAAAGAATCCCCTGCATCTTTCTGCATGATCATCAGTGCTGATTGTTCTCGATGTTCCCCTGGGATCGCTGATCAGTTTCAGACCTGAAGCAAAGTGAGCCGCAGATTTCCCATCCATGAACCTGAACCCTGAATGCAGTGATAAACACACAATGGCTCTGAAGGACAAGTTTCCCCTGAAGTCTGACATTTCATACTATTGTTAAACAAGGAGCCGTTCTGACAGGTTAAAAACATTTAAAAGAATAAACGTAGAAAAGAAAAACAATGAATTAATAAAAAAAGATTATAATCTGTGTCACAGATGAGGCTCACTCCAGATTAATGTAAAGAAACAAACTCAGATTTATTTTCACCTCATTTAGAAGGTGATTTACACCTGCTGAGTGAAGCACACGAGGAGGAAGAAGGAAATAAGGAAGGAAGGAAATGAGTCCAGAATGAGATTCCAACACTTTACCATCGGAGATGTTTGTCAATAAAGAAATACACAAGGTCTCAATATGCGTACTTGTGCGTACTTGCATTCTCATGTACTCGTAATACGTCATCAGTCCAGAACCCAATCGCGGCAATGGCGGAGGAGCGCAGCTAAAACTTTTAAATAGTACTCTTTCTGGGTCGCAAAATAAAATTTTAAGTTATTTTGAAGTGAGAATGTAGCTGTGTAAGCTTCAAATATCTGCTCGATTTATCAAGATATCACATATTTCCAAACGTGCTCCGACGTTTTCCAAGACATCGGTTACCCACCAGCTCCATACAGGGAGTGCAGAATTATTAGGCAAATGAGTATTTTGTCCACATCATCCTCTTCATGCATGTTGTCTCACTCCAAGCTGTATAGGC